GGAGGGTTGTTATTCCCCCAAAACAATGAAAGGGGCTCAAATGAAAGGAGCGTCCTTTCCCTCCCAAGGTTTGTTTCTCTTTATGATACAAGAAGCTTCGAAGAGGCTGGAAAGGATTTCACCTCCTTGTGACAGAAGGAGACCTGGGCCAGCAGCTGAGCCCAGGGTGGCCAGGCCTGTCCCTTCCCTTCAGGGTCCAGGGAAGCGAGGAGGCTGCCCAAGGTCTGGGAGGAAGCAGAGATTTGTGTCTCTGGAGGAAATTTCTAAAAATAGAAGGCCCTTGGGTCACTGCATTTGACTAATTTAAATCCTGTGGCATTTCCCTAACTTCTCGCCAAGCCCCCTGGTAGTGGCTGGTTGTTTGCAGCCAGGGCTGGGCCCAGACGAGAGGGTCAAGCCAGTGACGCAGGGGTGTTCTGAGGGGCTCACATTCCCGGTGAAGCCTGGGTGGTGCTGGCCCTGCGAAAGGAGTTGGGGTGAGGGTGCCCTCTAAAATGGCAACAGGAAATCCAGGTGGCAGGGAGGGGCTGAAGAAGGACTGAGGGAGAACACCCTTACAGGGGAGCACACAGCAGACCTGCGCCCACCTCAGGCCCCGCCTCGGTTTCAGGGTTTGAGCTGCCAGTCTTTGGGTTGCTACTCCTGAGCCCACCCTTTCCAGACTCCTTTAAGGCCCAGCTCCCAGGGGTCATAGAGGAGGTCAGCAGATCAAAGGACAGCACTAATGACTCGATGCCTTTGGCCCCGTGGCTCTGAAGGGGCTGGGGTGGGTGGGGGGACCTGAGCAGATGTCCCCAGCTCCAGTGACCCTAGGCCCTCTCCGCAGATCCTCCTTCCCTCTGAGCTCCAGGAAGGAGGTCGGAGCATCTCCCACCATTCCTGCCCTGGCCCTCTGGGCTCCCACTCCAGCCTTACTAAGCTACTTCCTGTGCCAGAGGCCAGTCTCATCTCAAACGCGCGCTTAGGTCCCGACCTCTGGCCAGTTACATGGCATCTTCATGCCTGTTTCCTGAAGAAAGCCTTGAAAGTTTACACTGAAACGGAACTGCGTGAGTCCCTGAAGACCACATGGCTTCAGCAAGACGGGACTAATGTACCTGGGCCCCTCTGCAGCCAAATCCTCTCTGTTGGCCCTCGGCTTCAGTTTTAGAAACGCAAGATCTGCCCCCTGCTTCAGCCACTGAGTGCCCTTCCAGGCACCTGCTCCATTTCACGTGGAAAAAAGCAATATCTACATGATAAATAAATGCATGATACTTGCCTCGCATCTTGTGAATATGTGAATGTACAGGTTTTTCCCCCAATCCTCACAGGTTCCCAGTTGCGTGGGTAAGTCCAGATGTAAATAGACACAGACTACAATAGCGTTTTCTTTTGCGATGGTTTGTAGAAATCACCATCTCCTTCCCAAGTAGTGGAAGGAAGGGCAGCCGCAGGCACTCTTTAATTCCTTAACAGGAGGCCTGTAGAAAGCAGGCACCTGCGGCGGGCAGGGAGGAGCTGCGGTGGGAGCCAGCTGATTAGGGTGCACCAGGCCTTCTCTGCCTGTCTTGAGAAACCAAGAGTTCTAGGGAGAACTCTCCAGGGCTGAGTTCTGCCCCTGGGGCCGCTGGAGGGAAAACTCACCTGGAGACTCAAGTTTGGGAGCACTACTAGGATCAGACCTTTGATCTCTCTTTGTGGCCCTTCCCAAGACCCAAGCCCAGCTCCAGTCTGCCCCAAAGCCAGCTGGTCTGGATCAATACAGATACTGGGAACAGGAAGAGACCCAGCAGGCTCCACCTCACACGCTGTAAACCACACAAAGATCTACACTTCCCAGATAGCCCCCTCTCTCCCCCACACCTGCCTCTCTCCATGCAACTTTACAGAGAGCCTCCACTTTATATAACATTTTCTTAAATTTAAGTAGAACATCGGCTCATTTTAAGGCCCAGTAGCACCTTAGAGTCCATTTGGTCCAACCCCTGCTTCTGTAGACAAAGAAACAAATCCATCAAGAAAAGGAGCTTCAGACTCCTGAAATGGCACCTCAGCTAGAGGGGCGGTCCGGACAGAACGCAGGGCTGCTATGCCAGGCCTCCTCGGACAGCCTTGCACAGCCCCACAGGTGGTACAGACACCTGAAGGACCTGCACACATGTTGTCCTGTCTGTGTTTTCAGGAAGGTGTCCTCAGCAGGTCTCAGGCAGAATAGAAACACGAGACAGGGTGTGAAGGGGTTTTGGACCATGGTTACCGCAGAACAAAAAGGGGTGAAATGAATTCCTCTAGGAGTTACAAAAAAAAAAAAAAAGCCAGAAAACACCCACTGTGATTTTGTTGAGGGAGATGGCTGATGTCATGAGTCTAGACTACACGCCCCATCACCAACTAAAATTACCCCGGCAGTGGGTATTTCCGGCTGGAGAGAGGAACAGCATCTTCTCCAAGGTCCATCCTGGGAGATGTTTTCTGCAGCCACTCCCTTCCCCCAGCTTCCTACATCATTGACCTCAGGACCAAGCAACCTGCCCCCAGCAGACGGGGGTGATGAGATGAGAAAGGCAAGTCAGTCTTGGCACCAAACCCCTGGAGGAGGAGGAGGCCAAGGCTGTGTTCTCTACCCTGGGGAGGCAGAGTCACAGCTAGGGCTTCTTGCCTGGGACAGGTGGCTAAGAATCTCTGGTCTCCTTTACAAGCCTTCCCCCACCCAAAAAGGAACAGATGGGATGGGGACTCCGGGCTGGGTGTACCTGAGAGCTTCGAGGGCAGCAGGGTGGGAACAGTGTGGCCTCTGCAGTCAGACCTGGTTCCACTCCCAGCTCTAAGGCTGAACTGCCTGCTGGGAACAAGGATCCCAAACTCTCTAAACCTGTACTCTAGAAAATGGAGATGATGGCCGGGCGCGGTGGCTCAAGCCTGTAATCCCAGCACTTTGGGAGGCCAAGACGGGCGGATCACGAGTTCAGGAGATCGAGACCATCCTGGCTAACACGGTGAAACCCGTCTCTACTAAAATACAAAAAAAAATTAGCCGGGCGAGGT